AATTGATTAATATATATATATATATATATATATGTGTATATATATATATACTATATTATAAAGCATTTGACAAAAATTCTTAAAAACCATTTTTTATGCATAAAGTACTATATATTGATGCATATTACTTAAAATTCAGGATTACAAGTAAATTATGCATAAGTACAACTTGTTAAAGCTTCATGTTTGAATTCGTGTAATTAATTGAGGATAAACATAATCAAATAGAGGATAAACATCTCATTTTAAAATATAAAAAAATCTAAAATATAATTAGGATAATTATCGAGTTCTAACACAATAATTAACTATTATCTTTAAAAGAAAATTATATTACTAAACCAAATATAAATTACTTCGTTATTAAACTTAAATTAAATTATTATTAAAAATTTTGAATTAAAAAAATTACACAAAAAATGAGGAATTTTAAATAGTTAATTTGATACTAATATCGCTTATTTTTTTTCAAAATTTTATATATTCAAATTTATATTTCATTCAAAAATAAAAACATTTTTTTTCTCAAAACCACATAAAATCGCATTATAACATCGATAGACCCAAAATATAAAACGAAACATTAGAATCAAAATGTACATCGCTGCATTGCGCAGGTACCCTTCTAGTATATATTAAATAGCTTGGTAAAGGTATGTGTAGAAAAATCAGGAGCTCAATGTAGTCGACATCTATTAAACGACCAATCCAATAAACTCCAAGCTGGGCTATTAAGCCACAATTGAACACGTCTGTGTGGATTATCAAACAAGCCATATGCCCTTATTCAGTTCTTTAAGACACAACTAAACAACCCCTAAATAACATAAACTTTATACAACTCATTAAGAAATAATATAAACTTTTTGAATGTTTTAATTTTTGACTGAAATTAATTTTTTCCATAGAAGAAATCAAAGGATTATTGGTCTTTGGCCCAATAACTTATTTTGGTGTCCAATACGGTACCTGTCTTATATTGTATTAACAGTGAAACAATAAGTTTTTATTATATTTTTTTGTAAGGGTGTCCGAGCCAAAGCCCGACTAATCCCCGGTAAATTTGGAGGCTAAACATGACCCCACTTAAATATCGCCAACACTCCCCTCCTAGGACTTGAACTCGGGTTCATGACTATGTCATGCCCAAGCCTTTACCACTAGGCTGGAAGGTCTTTGACAACAATGAGTTTTATGGAGTCTCATATGACACCAAAATGGATTTTATTTTGTCCATGTACCAAACATAATCTAAACAATGAATTCAAGACTCTTTGTTGACATCACATGAGGGTGCTTTTTGTTGTTTCAAAAAAATAAAGTTAAAAGGACTGATCTTGTAATAGTGTGATTTTTATAGGGGATGGATGCAAAGTCCTTAACTTTAGGGACCTGCATGAAAATTACCCTGTTATGACTAAACAACAAATCCCAACCAGCAAATCCATTCGGAAAGGACATTTGATTTCTTCCTTGTAACTAAAATCCCTAAAGCTGTTGCAAGTTTTCCAAAATGGGTGCTCGCAATTACGCAAAGAAACGCCATTACCTTCTATTTCAACTTCCTTAAAGCTGTTGTAAGTTCACACAATTTACAGTTTCCAGTTTTGTTTAATTCTCGTTAGCAATGACAGGTTTTGCTGGTCTCATACCTTTTCGTTACAGGAAATGTGGATTTTTTGCTTTTAGTCCTATACGTTGGTGATGCGTGTTGGTAATCTGATAGTTTTTTTTGCAGTTTGAAGGTCATTTGAGTGCGTCTCAATGGTATGCTCCCTGGGAGGTGGGCAGATGACAACCCTTCTGGAAGGAGGGAGTACATCGCAAATAATGGCAGGTAGAAACAAGAACGATCTTTTCGTTTTCTAAATCTATCGTCATCATCATCGTATTTCGTTTTATTTGTTTGAATTATCCTATTCTCCCGTGGTGATCTACGTGTAATAATATGGGAAGAGGTGATGGCTAGAAAGGGTAAGGGGTAATTTAATTGCTTGCCTCTGTGAACTATGGATTCTTAGTCGAGGTGGGCATAGATTTTAAGCATATTTGAGCATGTAACATATGATGCTTGGCTGAAGAGATTTACTTGCCCGAGGTTGTTGAAAGGAGATTGATGAATTACCTCAATACATTATATTCTCTGTTTATTTATAGTGCCTTTGTAAAGATAATATATGAGTTCTCTTTGTAAGAATTAAGAGACGAACCTTGTGTTTGCTATCAGCACTTGGACATTGTACAATGGAAATGAGTCAATTCGAGTACATTCAAAATACTTGAAAGTAAAAAACATGGATGGAAGTAACATAAGCTCAGATGGGAATACATTAAAATCTAAAAGGGATCTAAGGACATGATTACAATAAAGATAGTTTCCGTAGAACATAGAAAGGCGGGACTAAGTCTTTTTTCCTGCTCGTGTGTATGAGGAGAGTTTGTCCCCTTCTGTATAGGAGATCTCTTGTTTTTGGTCTAGACCAGCTAGTGTATCAACTGGGGATATGTATCTTGGGACAGGTATACATGACTATTATTGCTAGAGGTAAGCCAAGTGTACTAGAATTGCCTTTTAAATGACCAAGTGTTCTTGCATATGAAATCTACTATTTTTCTTTAAAGGTTAACTTCATGTCGACATATTAGGGGAGGTACCAATGTGGCTTCAACATTACTAGATGCTAGACAAATTTCATCGTGAAGTCAGTGGTTTCTTTCTCAAGTTGTAGTTATGAATACAACCTTTCCTTTGTTTCTTTATCTTTCATGAACAATTTATCTCATGTTTTGTCTATTCTTTGTGAAAAAGAATGACATTTAATTCACTGAACAAACTCTTGATGTGGTTGGCTTCTTATGATTTATTTCAATGAGTCGTATCAGATACTTCAAATGCAGACTCTGTTTGATATTGTTGGCCCTTTCTAGTTTTTACTTCCATTGGCCTGCTGTAGAAAATGTGCCATCAGATTGTTCTGTGTTTTTTTCACCTCCATTTTGGCCAAAAATGTTATGCTTGTTTTCTTAACTTCACTTAACCTGTGATGCTTTGGTTTCTGTTTGGTGGTAATAGCTCATTACCCTTTTGCCTTGTGTGGTAGGGCATGATTCATATATAACTGATTTAAGTAATCTAAGTTTGCTTGCCAAACATTCAACCGTATGTAATTAACTGCATATGTAGGATGGTTTGATTTACTTACATTGGTTAACTCAGTTTATAGTCAAAGAAAGATGGATTGCAAGTGTAGAATGTCTACTACCAGATAGTGTTATTATGTAATATATTTGAGTAGTGAAATTTCATAGAATGTATGGGAAGGAGTATACTTTCAGGAATGTGGAGAGGAAAACAGGCAAGCTTGTAGTTAACATTGAATATTAATGCTACTCATTTTTGGATGGAGGTTAAGTTTCTGGAGTACTTTATTTTTTTATACCTAGATGTTTAACACTGATCCCAATGAGGACATCTGAATGGACCAGTGGCAGCATTATCTGTATTATGTAAGAAGGTCTTAGGTTCTACCTTGTAACATGTTTCATTCGTCACTTCCCCTTTCATTGACAGAGGATGTAGGCTGTTGGAAATTAGCGGCTCAATACGTTCAAAGGGAACTTAAAGAGGCAGATGAAGTAAATTTGCTTGATGAAGAAGGTAAATTTTCTGATTCGTTATTTGGAGTTGCAAAATACTTGATGCAAACCTTCTTATCTATGATTTTTGGAGTAACAGAAACCTCCTTCAGAGTAAATAATGATCTTGCTGACTCTCTTTTTATTGCTTTAAGTTGGATTTTATATTTCCACGAGTTGCGTAAATATATGCTCGCTTGCTCCTGGACAAAAATTGGTGTTTCACCACCAGCTATTTCCTCAAAATACCCCTTCACATAAAACCAGCATATTAATAGTTATACCTCACACCGATTGATCAAAGAGGGATGTTATAACTCTAGTGATTGAATTTAAAATTTGAAATTATAGAAGAGTGTTGTCTAGCCTGTTTACATCACATCATATGGCAAATAGAAATTGCCCCTTATGAGCAGACCTTGCCTTTTTAGTTTTTTTTTATTATCATCCCAGAAAGAGTAATCTTGCACTTAATAAAGACATCCCTAAATAGAAATTGTTTCACTTGTTGGCAGATAGAGAGTTAAACACATCCCTAAGAAACTTGGTTTATTTAAATTTTACTTTTCTATGTTACCCTTTGTTGAGAAAATTGGATGAGATTAAGTTTTCTTATTGTCTCTTGGAAGGAAGAATACAACCATATATACAAGATTCACAAGGGAAGAAAAAGGAAACTGAAACTATCTACTAAGTAAAACGAAACTAATTTAACAACCTACTATATTATCTATCTTATTGCCTGCCTGCTTGCACACACCTTTTTTTTGTGCGCAAGCTGGGGGTCTTCACAGAAACATCCTCTTAAATTAAGGGGGAAATCGGGTAAACATAAGACATATGATAGGAAAAGGGATGGAGTGAGATGAAGATTGCCAGAAACAAGAGCAATGGATGTAGAACCTTATGCTAAAGTTAATTTTGAAGGAGAAGAGCGAGGTTTAAATTTAGCAAAATTATTAGGATTACCTGTCATATCATTTGAAACACCAGAGTCAATGTCCCATCGAGATGAGGAGGAAAGCACATATATTTGGATTACCTAGCTTAGTAGCAGCAGTTGCCAGATGAGGTGAGGCCTTTAATGTTTCTTAAAACGAATTGGGATTTCTGAACTGTATTTTCTGTGTAAAACAGTTTACAAAGACAGCCTATATATAGCTAAGATATACAATTGACTAGGAGACTATTAAGGAGCTAAACTAGCAACTTATTTACAGCAATGAATATTTGATTAGGAGACTATTAAGGAGCTAAACTAGCAACTCATTTACAGCAATGAATATTTGATTAGGAGACTATTAAGGAGCTAAACTAGCAACTCATTTACAGCAATGATTTACAAATTAAATATTAAATCAATCTTAGGTTGTAATACGCCCCCGCAAGATGGAGGATCCATCGGAAACTCCAATCTTGGAACGTAAACGAAGAAATGGGCCCCGACTGAGAGGTTTGGTGAGTGCATCGGCAAGTTGATCATTGGAGGTTATGTGAAGAACTTTCAAGGAACCATCAGCTACTCTTTCACGTACAAAGTGGTAATCCAAGGCCACATGTTTCATGCGAGAATGATAAACCGGATTAGCACAGAGATAAGTGGCACCTGTGTTATCACAGAAAAGTGTAGGTGGGAAGGGCTGTTTGACACCAAGATCAGTGAGCAAGTTCTGAACCCATGAGACTTCAGCTGCTGAATTGGCTAAGGCCTTGTATTCTGCTTCAGTAGAGGATCGGGAAACAGATTTTTGACGAGCTGATTTCCATGAAATAATGTTGGAGCCCAGATAAATTATGTAAGCAGTAGTGGAACGACCGCCATTCAAGATACCTCCCCAATCAGAATCAGAGAAGGCTTTTAGATCAAGAGAGGAACCTCGTTTAAGGTATAGCCCATGGTGTATKGTACCCTTTAAATAACGTAGCACCCGTTTTAACGCCTGCCAATGGATTTCTGAGGGAGAGTGCATAAACTGAGCTAACCGATTCACAGCAAAGGATACGTCAGGCCTKGTGAAGGCTAAGTATTGCAAGGAACCCACCAGCTTCCGATATGGTGTTGGATCAACACTTGGTGACCCGTCCATGGGGTTGAGAACGAGAGAAGACTGAAGTGGAGTAGCCACAGCTTTAGCACCATCCATATGAAACTGAGTTAGGAGATCTTGAATATGACGGTGTTGGGATAAGAATAGACCRTTGGTGGTAGGGATAACTTCAATGCCAAGAAAATGGTGGAGGGGACCCAAGTCTTTGATAGAAAAACGATTGGCTAAGGTACTGATGAATTGATCAAGAAAGGCATTGTTATTACCTGTGAGAACGATATCATCAACATATACCATAAAAAGGCACAGAATATTATCATGATTGTAGATAAAAAGAGATGCAACTGCTCGTGATTTTCGAAAACCACAAGTACGAAGGAAGGAAGTCAATTCCATGTACCATGCCCGCGGGGCTTGTTTCAGACCATAGAGAGATTTTCGGAGTTTGCAAACATGGGTGGGAAATTGGGGATGAGGGAATCCTGGTGGTTGGGTCATGAAGACTTCCTCATGGAGGGTCCCATGAAGGAAGGCATTGTTCACGTCAAGCTGGCGTAGGGGCCAGTTGTGGGAAAGAGCTAGAGATAAAATGACTCGAATAGTCACGGGTTTGGCAACTGGACTAAAGGTATCAAAGTAATCCTTCCCATACTGTTGTAGGAAGCCTTTTGCGACCAAACAGGCCTTGTATTTGGAAATTGTACCATCGGGATTTCGTTTTACCCGAAAGACCCATTTACAGCCAATGGGATTATGATTGGCACGCGGTACTAATTCCCAAGTCCCATTCTGCATGAGAGCATTAAATTCTTGGTCCATGGCTTGGCGCCACTTGGGGTCTTTGAGAGCTTGGGTATGTGTATGAGGTTCAAKGGTAGGAGGAATTGGATGAAGGGTTGTGGTGTTGATGAAGGAGTCATTGAAGTATTTGGGGTTTTGTTTTCTAGTGCGTACGGGCTGTGAGKTGGGTGTGGCAGTAGAAGTAGAAGTGGAGACGGTATGTGGTGTGGATAGTAGAGGAGAGGCATTTGGGGAGACAGTAGGGATAGGGGGTGGCTGTTGGGTTGGAGTGTGAGATGGTAAGGTAAGAGAGGGAGAAGGTTGTGGTGAAGGAGGAGGGGAAGAAGTGGTAGGCTGTGTTGGAGATGATACCAACCTGTTTTTGCGTCGGGAATAGGTTAGACGAAAGGTAGGAGGAGTTTCGGCAGAAGTAGGGTCGGTGGTATTTGTGGGTGATAGAGGAATATGATGCAGCAAGGGGGACGAGGTACAGGGCTTGAGGAAGTCATCAGGTGTGGGCAAGGGATTAGTGAGGTTGGTTAGGGAAGGAAACTGACTGTCAACAAACTGAACATGACGAGAGTGGTACAACCGATGGGTGACGGGATCATAACATTTGTAGGCTGATTTTGAGGTTGAATAGCCAAGGAAGAGACAAGGAGTGGATCGTGGTTGAAGCTTGGAGGTGGTGTAAGGTCGCAGCCATGGATAGCACAAACAACCAAAGGGGTGAAGTTTGGTGTAATTAGGAGGTTGACCGAATAGATGGTGGTAAGGAGTTTGATTGTTGAGAATAGGTGTTGGGAGCCTATTGATTAGGTAGACTGCTGTTTGAAAGGAATGAGACCAGAAGGTTAAAGGAAGTTTGGCATAGTGAAGGAGAGCTAGACCCGTTTCAACTATATGTCGATGGCGCCGTTCAGCGACGCCATTCTGCTCAGGTGTATGAGGTGGAGTGGTGTAGTGAGAAATACCATGRGTTTGTAAGAAAGGTMGAAGACCTAGGTATTCKCCACCATTATCAGTGAAGATGGATACAAGTGGTGTTTGGAAAAACTTYTCAACCAGTAGTTTAAACTGAGGGAATAGAGTGGCGACATCAGATTTTTTTTTCATTGGATAGAGCCACACGTATTTTGAAAAATAGTCCACAAAAATGACATAGTAAGTAAAATGATCAATAGAACTTTGGACCGGACCCCATACATCAGAATATATCAATTGTAAGGGTTTCGTAACAACAAATGAATTGGAACCAAAAGGGAGCTTATGACTCTTATTAATGGAACAAGATGGACAATGCATATCAGAAATCTTAGAACTAAGGCCTAGATTGGAAAGAAGGGACTTGAAAACTTTGGTGGATGGATGGCCCAAGGTATGATGCCATTGAAGGTGTGAAGCTTTGGTGGTAACATTCAGTTGCAGGTTGGATGGTAACTTGGCATAGTACACATCTTCATGGTTCTCCCCCCGCATGAGAGGCGCCCCCGTGCGAAGATCCTTCACCAAAAAGGAAGAGGGAAAAAATTCAACAGAAACCCGGTTAGTTTTGCATAATTTAGCCACAGAAATAAGGTTTCKTTGTAAATGTGGAACACATAACACATGAGGTAAATTTAATGTCTTGAGAGGTGTGTCAATGTATTTAGAACCGACAGAGGAAATTTTTAAACTGTTACCATTCYCGAGAATGATTTCGTCGGGTCCGCCATAGTCCGAGACATTTTGAAGTGTGGAACGATCCCCGGTGACATGATTGGAAGCACCACTGTCAAATAGCCAGGTTGGGGAAACAGAAGGTGAGCCAGACATGGTGACATTGGCTACTGAAGCATTCGAYTGAGAGGTGTTGACGATGATGTTGTTATCCCGTAAGAACCGAGATAGTTTGCGACAATCACGAGTCATATGGCCTGGAATGTTGCAGAACTGACAATAGGAATTGGACCTGTTTTGTCGATTTCCACCAGAGGTTGAAGAAGGCCATTGAGTACGATTGGTTGGACTACGTTGCTGATTAGAGAAACGATTGTTAGTGCCACGTTGCTGGTTGAAGCCATCTGATCGCCCAGGTTGTCGGCTGGACTGTTTTGCAGTGTAATTGGCTGTGGTTAGCACAGGTTCAGGAGCTGCAGTTTGTTCCTTCAAAGCTCGCTCAAAATCAGTCAGTTTGTCAAATAATTCTGAGTAAGACATTGGTGTTTCACGCACTTTGATAGCAGCGACGATAGTACCATATTCATCACCGAGTTGTGATAAAATGTGAACCAGTAGGTCTTCTTCTGTAACAGGACTTTGTGCAAGTGCTAATTCATCAGCAATGGCTCGCATGTCCTGGAGATATTCAGCTATTGAACGAGTACCTTTTGGATTTTTGACAAGCTTAGACTTGAGGGAGATGACGCGAGACCTAGACCCACTGGCAAAACTGGCATTGAGTCGCTCCCAGGCATCCCGTGAGGTAGTAGCAGATGAGATTAGAGGTTGGATTGGGTCCGAGCAGCAGCCAAGAATAGCACTGATTATTATTTGATCCTGACGGTACCAGGAGAGATATCCTGRATTCGGTCTAGGACCATCTYTRTCTTCCAGAAATCGTTCTGGGGGTTGTTGATTACCAATGATAAACGCATCAAGCTCAAGCCCTATTAGGGTTGATTCAACTTGACGGCGCCAAACTGGGAAATTATTGGCAGTGAGTCTGATTGGGAAATGAGTTGCAGCAGTAATTTGGATTGTTGTTTTTGGTGCCATTGGAAGCGTAAGGATAGAAAGGAAGCGTAGTGATAAGAAGAACAGGAAGAAGGATAAGCTCTTTAGAGCTATTGTGGCTCTGATACCATAAAACGAATTGGGATTTCTGAACTGTATTTTCTGTGTAAAACAGTTTACAAAGACAGCCTATATATAGCTAAGATATACAATTGACTAGGAGACTATTAAGGAGCTAAACTAGCAACTTATTTACAGCAATGAATATTTGATTAGGAGACTATTAAGGAGCTAAACTAGCAACTCATTTACAGCAATGAATATTTGATTAGGAGACTATTAAGGNAATTGATTAATATATATATATATATATATATATGTGTATATATATATATACTATATTATAAAGCATTTGACAAAAATTCTTAAAAACCATTTTTTATGCATAAAGTACTATATATTGATGCATATTACTTAAAATTCAGGATTACAAGTAAATTATGCATAAGTACAACTTGTTAAAGCTTCATGTTTGAATTCGTGTAATTAATTGAGGATAAACATAATCAAATAGAGGATAAACATCTCATTTTAAAATATAAAAAAATCTAAAATATAATTAGGATAATTATCGAGTTCTAACACAATAATTAACTATTATCTTTAAAAGAAAATTATATTACTAAACCAAATATAAATTACTTCGTTATTAAACTTAAATTAAATTATTATTAAAAATTTTGAATTAAAAAAATTACACAAAAAATGAGGAATTTTAAATAGTTAATTTGATACTAATATCGCTTATTTTTTTTCAAAATTTTATATATTCAAATTTATATTTCATTCAAAAATAAAAACATTTTTTTTCTCAAAACCACATAAAATCGCATTATAACATCGATAGACCCAAAATATAAAACGAAACATTAGAATCAAAATGTACATCGCTGCATTGCGCAGGTACCCTTCTAGTATATATTAAATAGCTTGGTAAAGGTATGTGTAGAAAAATCAGGAGCTCAATGTAGTCGACATCTATTAAACGACCAATCCAATAAACTCCAAGCTGGGCTATTAAGCCACAATTGAACACGTCTGTGTGGATTATCAAACAAGCCATATGCCCTTATTCAGTTCTTTAAGACACAACTAAACAACCCCTAAATAACATAAACTTTATACAACTCATTAAGAAATAATATAAACTTTTTGAATGTTTTAATTTTTGACTGAAATTAATTTTTTCCATAGAAGAAATCAAAGGATTATTGGTCTTTGGCCCAATAACTTATTTTGGTGTCCAATACGGTACCTGTCTTATATTGTATTAACAGTGAAACAATAAGTTTTTATTATATTTTTTTGTAAGGGTGTCCGAGCCAAAGCCCGACTAATCCCCGGTAAATTTGGAGGCTAAACATGACCCCACTTAAATATCGCCAACACTCCCCTCCTAGGACTTGAACTCGGGTTCATGACTATGTCATGCCCAAGCCTTTACCACTAGGCTGGAAGGTCTTTGACAACAATGAGTTTTATGGAGTCTCATATGACACCAAAATGGATTTTATTTTGTCCATGTACCAAACATAATCTAAACAATGAATTCAAGACTCTTTGTTGACATCACATGAGGGTGCTTTTTGTTGTTTCAAAAAAATAAAGTTAAAAGGACTGATCTTGTAATAGTGTGATTTTTATAGGGGATGGATGCAAAGTCCTTAACTTTAGGGACCTGCATGAAAATTACCCTGTTATGACTAAACAACAAATCCCAACCAGCAAATCCATTCGGAAAGGACATTTGATTTCTTCCTTGTAACTAAAATCCCTAAAGCTGTTGCAAGTTTTCCAAAATGGGTGCTCGCAATTACGCAAAGAAACGCCATTACCTTCTATTTCAACTTCCTTAAAGCTGTTGTAAGTTCACACAATTTACAGTTTCCAGTTTTGTTTAATTCTCGTTAGCAATGACAGGTTTTGCTGGTCTCATACCTTTTCGTTACAGGAAATGTGGATTTTTTGCTTTTAGTCCTATACGTTGGTGATGCGTGTTGGTAATCTGATAGTTTTTTTTGCAGTTTGAAGGTCATTTGAGTGCGTCTCAATGGTATGCTCCCTGGGAGGTGGGCAGATGACAACCCTTCTGGAAGGAGGGAGTACATCGCAAATAATGGCAGGTAGAAACAAGAACGATCTTTTCGTTTTCTAAATCTATCGTCATCATCATCGTATTTCGTTTTATTTGTTTGAATTATCCTATTCTCCCGTGGTGATCTACGTGTAATAATATGGGAAGAGGTGATGGCTAGAAAGGGTAAGGGGTAATTTAATTGCTTGCCTCTGTGAACTATGGATTCTTAGTCGAGGTGGGCATAGATTTTAAGCATATTTGAGCATGTAACATATGATGCTTGGCTGAAGAGATTTACTTGCCCGAGGTTGTTGAAAGGAGATTGATGAATTACCTCAATACATTATATTCTCTGTTTATTTATAGTGCCTTTGTAAAGATAATATATGAGTTCTCTTTGTAAGAATTAAGAGACGAACCTTGTGTTTGCTATCAGCACTTGGACATTGTACAATGGAAATGAGTCAATTCGAGTACATTCAAAATACTTGAAAGTAAAAAACATGGATGGAAGTAACATAAGCTCAGATGGGAATACATTAAAATCTAAAAGGGATCTAAGGACATGATTACAATAAAGATAGTTTCCGTAGAACATAGAAAGGCGGGACTAAGTCTTTTTTCCTGCTCGTGTGTATGAGGAGAGTTTGTCCCCTTCTGTATAGGAGATCTCTTGTTTTTGGTCTAGACCAGCTAGTGTATCAACTGGGGATATGTATCTTGGGACAGGTATACATGACTATTATTGCTAGAGGTAAGCCAAGTGTACTAGAATTGCCTTTTAAATGACCAAGTGTTCTTGCATATGAAATCTACTATTTTTCTTTAAAGGTTAACTTCATGTCGACATATTAGGGGAGGTACCAATGTGGCTTCAACATTACTAGATGCTAGACAAATTTCATCGTGAAGTCAGTGGTTTCTTTCTCAAGTTGTAGTTATGAATACAACCTTTCCTTTGTTTCTTTATCTTTCATGAACAATTTATCTCATGTTTTGTCTATTCTTTGTGAAAAAGAATGACATTTAATTCACTGAACAAACTCTTGATGTGGTTGGCTTCTTATGATTTATTTCAATGAGTCGTATCAGATACTTCAAATGCAGACTCTGTTTGATATTGTTGGCCCTTTCTAGTTTTTACTTCCATTGGCCTGCTGTAGAAAATGTGCCATCAGATTGTTCTGTGTTTTTTTCACCTCCATTTTGGCCAAAAATGTTATGCTTGTTTTCTTAACTTCACTTAACCTGTGATGCTTTGGTTTCTGTTTGGTGGTAATAGCTCATTACCCTTTTGCCTTGTGTGGTAGGGCATGATTCATATATAACTGATTTAAGTAATCTAAGTTTGCTTGCCAAACATTCAACCGTATGTAATTAACTGCATATGTAGGATGGTTTGATTTACTTACATTGGTTAACTCAGTTTATAGTCAAAGAAAGATGGATTGCAAGTGTAGAATGTCTACTACCAGATAGTGTTATTATGTAATATATTTGAGTAGTGAAATTTCATAGAATGTATGGGAAGGAGTATACTTTCAGGAATGTGGAGAGGAAAACAGGCAAGCTTGTAGTTAACATTGAATATTAATGCTACTCATTTTTGGATGGAGGTTAAGTTTCTGGAGTACTTTATTTTTTTATACCTAGATGTTTAACACTGATCCCAATGAGGACATCTGAATGGACCAGTGGCAGCATTATCTGTATTATGTAAGAAGGTCTTAGGTTCTACCTTGTAACATGTTTCATTCGTCACTTCCCCTTTCATTGACAGAGGATGTAGGCTGTTGGAAATTAGCGGCTCAATACGTTCAAAGGGAACTTAAAGAGGCAGATGAAGTAAATTTGCTTGATGAAGAAGGTAAATTTTCTGATTCGTTATTTGGAGTTGCAAAATACTTGATGCAAACCTTCTTATCTATGATTTTTGGAGTAACAGAAACCTCCTTCAGAGTAAATAATGATCTTGCTGACTCTCTTTTTATTGCTTTAAGTTGGATTTTATATTTCCACGAGTTGCGTAAATATATGCTCGCTTGCTCCTGGACAAAAATTGGTGTTTCACCACCAGCTATTTCCTCAAAATACCCCTTCACATAAAACCAGCATATTAATAGTTATACCTCACACCGATTGATCAAAGAGGGATGTTATAACTCTAGTGATTGAATTTAAAATTTGAAATTATAGAAGAGTGTTGTCTAGCCTGTTTACATCACATCATATGGCAAATAGAAATTGCCCCTTATGAGCAGACCTTGCCTTTTTAGTTTTTTTTTATTATCATCCCAGAAAGAGTAATCTTGCACTTAATAAAGACATCCCTAAATAGAAATTGTTTCACTTGTTGGCAGATAGAGAGTTAAACACATCCCTAAGAAACTTGGTTTATTTAAATTTTACTTTTCTATGTTACCCTTTGTTGAGAAAATTGGATGAGATTAAGTTTTCTTATTGTCTCTTGGAAGGAAGAATACAACCATATATACAAGATTCACAAGGGAAGAAAAAGGAAACTGAAACTATCTACTAAGTAAAACGAAACTAATTTAACAACCTACTATATTATCTATCTTATTGCCTGCCTGCTTGCACACACCTTTTTTTTGTGCGCAAGCTGGGGGTCTTCACAGAAACATCCTCTTAAATTAAGGGGGAAATCGGGTAAACATAAGACATATGATAGGAAAAGGGATGGAGTGAGATGAAGATTGCCAGAAACAAGAGCAATGGATGTAGAACCTTATGCTAAAGTTAATTTTGAAGGAGAAGAGCGAGGTTTAAATTTAGCAAAATTATTAGGATTACCTGTCATATCATTTGAAACACCAGAGTCAATGTCCCATCGAGATGAGGAGGAAAGCACATATATTTGGATTACCTAGCTTAGTAGCAGCAGTTGCCAGATGAGGTGAGGCCTTTAATGTTTCTTAAAACGAATTGGGATTTCTGAACTGTATTTTCTGTGTAAAACAGTTTACAAAGACAGCCTATATATAGCTAAGATATACAATTGACTAGGAGACTATTAAGGAGCTAAACTAGCAACTTATTTACAGCAATGAATATTTGATTAGGAGACTATTAAGGAGCTAAACTAGCAACTCATTTACAGCAATGATTTACAAATTAAATATTAAATCAATCTTAGGTTGTAATATCTTGGTGCTAAAGAAACTTAGCAAATTCATTTTCGTGTACTTTAACTGTTTGTTCCAACGAGGAGTCAGGTGGAGCAGCAACAACAGGGCCTAGAGAAAGCTTTCGAGATCTATGTTGCAGTTTTCGACAATTGTTTTTTGTATGACCTTCCTTTTGAAAAAAAAAACACTCGGCTCTCCTTTGTCCTGACTGCCAATATTGCTTACTCTGTTGTAATTTTGATTAGAAACCTTGCTGTCTTGGGTCCATTATTTCGGGCTTCAAGTGCTTTCAGGCTTGAAGAGCACTTGAAGCCAACCATAAGACATTTGCATAGAAGCACTAGTGTCTGCGCTCAGAACTTTCGCAAACACCTCTTTCAAAAGATCTATGGCTTCAGCTGCAGCTAAGCGAACGACCTATTCTATATGTTAGGACTGGACAAAACCTGAGATTTAGCAATCTCAAATTAGAATTAAGACCTGCCAAAGAAACTCATAATAACCATCTTCTCAGATTGAGAATTAATCCAAAATGATTAATCATGCCAACTATCAATAAAGTAATTGATCTGCAAAAAGAATCTAGCATCCTCTTTGAGCTGTTTGTTCTTTTCAATACCGTCTCAGTAAGGCGATCGTCTTTGCTTATAGACTGCCGATATATTCTGACAGTTTTAGACCAATCAAAATAGGTAGTAGAACTGGTTTAACTTATGTTCTAGGATTTTAGACATTACTGGAATCACATCACCCATGACGAGAGTCATCTTTTTATCAGCCATCTCAAATGTGAATTGATGTTCCGAAAGAAAACCAACAGCAAAGAAGACTAGCTTGAACCACACTCGAAGTATGGGAAAAAAGTTACAAAAAAACATGTCAAAACACGAGGTCAAAAAGTCAATTAGGGAAAATAAAAACTGAATATATGAAGGCCAAGCCTGATTGAACCTTGTTTAATTGGCTATGTAAGTAAACTGGAATAAAATTATTTTCTGTATGTAATGAATACAACAATACACATAAATACGTACACATGCTAGACATCAAATAAGGAAGGAATCAAATCAATTCCCTAATAATTCTCCTTAGGGGAGGCTAAATACACCCCTACTTCTAGTTTAATCATTGTTTATTTTGTTCTTTTTTCTTTTTTGTCCTTTTGTCTATTTTGTTTTTTGTTTTTTTTGCTTTTTTGTCTTTTTTTGCTCTTACTTAATTGTATTAAATTATAATTAATGTAAACATCAATTTTTTTTCCTAATATAAACATTATTTTTTTTCTAATTATTATATAATTATAAAAATGATAAAAATAAAATATTTATTAATACACCGAGTTTTTTTTTTGTCTTTTACTTATTTGCTTTTATTTAGTTGTAAATGAATACTTATTAATGTAAACATTATTTTTCTAATAATTATATAATTATAATTATATAATTATAAAAATAAAACATAAGATATTTTATTAACGTGTTGAGAGACGATCATAAACATTGAGATCCGACTTATGATTTTATGGTTATAGTTGAACATATAATATAAAACAATTAAATATCTTATGGTTTTTACAATATATTTTTTTCCTTCTAATAATTATATAAGTACTACTATATAATTATATCTTTGAAACATAAAATAATTTATATCATATTTTCACTTATTCTAAAATGCCATTATCTGTAATATAATTAACACGTAAAAGCTGTATGTACATACTTATTCAATCCAAATATGGGTAGCCCATGTAGCGACACATGTATAGCTGAAATGAAAAAAATGTGATGTAATAGCAGGCATCGGGTATCCTTCTACTAACGTTTCTTACTCTGTAACATTCTTCTTTGGTTCGTGTCTCTTCTTTTTTCTAGCAATGTGCAGTGAGCCTTAGAGGGAGTGAGACTCAAATGGTATGACTTAGATGTAGTAACTTATGAGAAGAGGTGATATATTCATATGGAGAAGATGTGATATGGAGAATAGGTAATATGGATAAGATATGATATTTTATGAAGAGGTCAGAAGGAGAAGAGGTGAAGAGATGAAGAGTAGAAGAGGTGAAGATGTAATGAAGAAGAGGTGATATATATATATGTGTGTGTGTGGGTGTGTATATATATATATAATAATAATAAATATAAAAATATAAATAATATATAAAGTATATATAATAATATATAATACATAACTTCAAAATAATAAAATATGATAAAGTAATATATATAATATAAATTAATACATAATAATAATATAAATGCAAATAGTATATTATTAACATATAGAGTTTGTTTCAAATGCAACCCATCACATTTGTACAACCAATGCAACCTAATAAATTGAAATATTTATGTAAATGATGAGAGTTCATTTATTATGATTTAAATATTTATGGAAGATGAATAAGATTCATTAATTATGATCAATACTTTATATTAGGAAACAATCAAAACTTCTATGAAATTACATATTCATCAAATTAAATGGACAGTTGAAATTGAGTTGTATTGGTTTTATAATAACCCACCTCTTAACATATATAATATATATATATATATGGATATATAAAATTATATATAAAACAAAAATAATGAAATATAAGTTTTTTGATCGATTTTGATGGGTTCAAATTCCAGGGTAAGCAACACCCCTGTTAAGGGTTGCAAATAGCAACACCCATCTCCTAAATATATACATTCCTATTCTGTAACAGAAAAAATATTTATTTATTTATATGCAAGATCAAAGACAATCTATTTTGTAAGATATCTCTCTAGATTCTGACACCAAGACCGCGCCTTCTCCCCTAGAGATATACCTCGCCCGGATCAACCCCAGTGTGGCTGATCATCCGAAAAGACCAGCTAAGCATCATTGGCTTGGTCAGCCAGAACCTTTCTCTAGCCAAGAATCCCATTATTGATCAGGATGCTGTCATTGTTGAGTATAGAATTTGTGACATGATAGAGATGTGGCTGGATGGGAATGTGATGTCCTTTCTTGGGAGAAAACAATCAGAATCTCAAAATTATAAATACATAGACATGAGAGATGAGATGTTTATCGTAGGAGGAAAATGAAAATCCAACTTAATAATATTGACTTCTACTTAAATGAAATACCTCCTAAGGACACAACTTTAGCATCTATACCATTTTCAGGACATGATAACCGTTGTAGACACAATTCAAGTGACTGGAGGTCGAGGTTCCCGTAGATGAGATTGGCTGATTAGGGATGGAAACGAGTCGGGCATTTTGGCCATTGGGTGGGTAATGCATCCCTTGTTTCCGACCCCG